TTATTTCACTGTTCACTTAATAAGCTCTTGTGAATGTTGTTTTCTAGTTTTTAAGCAGCAATTAAGGTGCAGTCATTTCAGTGTAGCCTGATTAAAGTTTTATAATTTTTTTTAAACACATTTTTTATTTTTCCCCCCAGAAACTGCTACGAAACAAAAAATCCTGGCAATGTAAGAGTTTTCTCCCCAACCTTGGTTTCTCCTCTTAACGATATTTACACTTTTTTTTGCTGTTTCTAATATGCTCTTGATCTCCCCAAAGGTGACTAGGCACAGCAGGGGGTTGTGTCTTTCCTGCTGTGGGTAAAACAGGGTTGTTCCGGGGGGGGGAAAATTAGGGAAGAGAGATTGTACAAAGCTGTTTCAGTTGTTCCTAAAACAACTTAGGTGAATGTTCTTTACTTACAGACCAGTAAAGTCATTAAACATTTTGAGATTAGGCTTCCTTCTGATTGACTCCCTGTTAGATTTTGTTCAGGGCTTTTTTCCATATTTTACCAAAGTTACTGAGCTGTGGGATTTTTGGTGTGATATGTTGTTTGATTCTTCCAAAAATCTGGCAAGATCTCTCTTTACTTTTTGGTATTTACATATGTCTTTCCTGTCAGTTGAAGGGTTCTATAGGAGAGGCAACAATGTAGGTTTAAGTAAGTGAGAGTATACCAGAATATTAAAAACAGAAGAAAATTGATGGTGGGAGGGTCCTGGAGGACACAGGCTGAAGTCACTTCATGTTGGAGCTTTTTATGGAGTTCATATCTCAGTTTCTGATTCCAGTCCTCGTACGGCTGAGTAGGAACTGTTCCCGTTGTTCATTCCTCTCAGTCATTTACCTTTTGCATCTTCAAGTGTTTTTCCTTGCCACCTTTTTTTCCATAATTTGTCTTTGACAAATTATAGTTCTCTACTGTTTGTTAAATGAAGAATTTCCACTGAATAATTGAAATCTAATATGATTTAGTAATCCATGTAGAATTTATGATACTTCATGTAACATCATTGTAGAAATATCTTTCATTATTGAATTTCACTAACTAGACATAGTTCAGTTTATATTTTGGGTTGTCAGCTTAATGGACAATTTATTTTCTGCTCTTATCAGTATGAAATCATAGAAGGTTGAAAGTAAAGATGACAGTTTCAAAAGGCTTTGGCTGTCTATAATCTATATATAATATCTGTATAGAAAGAAAATTGTGGAAAATCCTGTCAGCTTGCGTTTTGCATCATGAAGTTCCTGAATTGTCAATATGAAAATAAGTTCACTTTCATAGTCAACAGAATATGAAGAAAGGTTGAGTAATCACTGTTGTGATTTATGGTGCCCCCTTAGTACTAGATGTTCTTAAATTAAATGTGATTCCTGGTATGTTTTTTTTCAAGTAATAGCTGTTGGCACTGATGCCCAAACTCTGGAGGCAACTGAAAGTATTGTGTGACTTCTAGATCCGTAGGTTTATTTCTGTCATTCAATACCCAAATCGTTTCACTTCCACTATAAACAAGGTAGTACACCTTGTTTTCCTGGGGTGAAGAATAGGTTTAATGTGAACTCTGGAAAGCATTTCACTCCTCTTGTGTAGATGAAGGTTATTCAGGAATTTGGAGCCAATGTCAGTTTTGAGTTCTGCTCAGTTGATTAAAGGTAAATAGCAGAAATAATTGTTTTTCACTGTGTATCTATGAAATATATTTGACAATGCACTTCACAGTTCATTAGTTGTAGTAATATCTTTCACTACTTGTTTTTTTGTGTCTCTTCAAATATCTTCTGGGGTTTGAGCCTGACAGATGACTCTTACGAATTCATTTGCTTGCACATCTTTAGCATCACACAGTGAATCACTTAAAAATAACCAAGAAAGGTATTTTACATTTGAAGCCTAAGTTAACACTTCACATTCTTAAGAGTATACTATAAACTAATTATGTAGGACACTTGTAAAACTGATAATTGCTTCTTGAAAAAAGCTGCTACTCTTTATACCTTCCTCCTGTTGCATTCTTCTTAATTTTAATGAAATAATTTAAGTGTTTTACTGATGCCTTTGTCCTTTTCTCAACAGTTTTTTGAAAATCTTGCTAATGTGATGGCATAAACTAGTAAAAAGGCATTTGGATTACAACATGGATATCAGCAATGGTGATTGATACTGTTTGTGTGGCGCAGTGAGAGTCTACTATATGAAATGACAGAAGTTTATATTTCTTCTGTATTTGCAATGGTAAGCTTCTTACATTTTTTTACTAAGTAAATAATAACTTTTTAATTTGTTATGTAAAGTGTATTTCTTTAGAAAGTAACATACCAGCAAATCCGTAAAGATTTTCGTCTTACTGATTATTTCTAATGTCTGTCAGATTCAGCAGTAATTACTCACCAAAGTGTACATTGGAATATGGTTTAACTTACTTTATTGGCATCCATTTGAAATGTCGGTTACTCATCCTTAATGTGTGCTAGCCCTAATTAGAACAACCTAAATGAAATGGATTCTAAATTACCCTGGGTTTTGTGCTTGGGTTCAACCCCAAATGAGAACACTCTTCAGGTGGTATTGAGCCTGTATGTAAAAGGGGAGAATATACAGGCAAGTTCATCCATGTGGAAAATAGGTATAAACAACCATTATAGACAACACATAGTTACATCATTTTTTTTCTCTTCAACTCAACTACTGATGTTTTGTCCATTTGCTGTTTGTTGTATTCTTTATATTTTTTCTTAAGACAGAGCTCATTGGACATCTCACACTTTGTCCTGTATCACTGCTTTTCAGTGCACAGAATGGAAGTTAGTGTGATAGCAGTTCTTTACCTGTATCTCAAGGAATACCAACTGCCCTTTTCTGGGCATTCATGTAAGGCAGCGAGAATAGCTAATGAGCAGGAGGATTGTAGCAGCACAAATACAACACGGTTTTGAGAACATTTGAAACTTCCATTTTGTAATTGCCTCTTTGTCATTACACAAAACGATGTGCTCTCTTACACAGTTGCATCTACAGCTATACCAAACAATAATTTTAGGATACATTACTTTCACTAGGAAATACTAGTTGCATTATGAATACCTAAACAGACTGTAGTAATGACTATTAATTGTCAAACAGAATTGTATTGCTTAAGAGGTGTACTGGTCTTCTCCTGTTTTCTCTTTTCTGCTCTAGGACCATCTGACACCTAAAGAGTAGATTTGTGAGAATTAATGCTTTTTTTTTTCTTCCCTCCCTGTCTTTTGCTGAAGGTGAAAAACACTTTTTGAAACAGTGTTCCTCCATTTGTCATTTTCAGTCTTTCTAAATAATATGTAAAAGGTTTGATTCTACAGTTAAAATTTTAAGTCTTCACATCATATGTCAGTTTAACAGGTTGGTAAAATCTGGAATTTGGGTAGATGGAAAAGGGAAGGTATGCCATTATGTACAAACGTAAATCTATTCATTATGATGGATATTATGACAGGTTTGTGGTGATACGCAGTTTGACACATTGAATTTTTAATATTAAATGAATAGAAGGATAAGACTGAACTGAATTCTATTAAAAATGTTATTTTGAGATTGGGCAAGTCGAGTACTCCTACATTTCACCCTGAAATATGAAATGCAGACACTCTCAAACTGGATGTTTTAAACTTAGCTTTGAGTCTGAATTTACTTAAATCCAATCATCTCACCAACTGTATGAAGAGTTTGAAAATGGAGAAAGCTTGGGAAACAGCTTTATAGTAGAATCATAGAATCATTTGGGTTGGAAGACTTAGTTAACCTAAGTTAACCCTAACACTGCCAAGTCCACCACTAAACCATGTCCCTAAGCCCACATCTGCATGTCATTTAAATACCTCCAGGACTTGACCACTTCCCTAGGCAGCCCATTCCAATGCCTGACAGCCCTTTTGGTGAAGAAATTTTTCGTAATACGCAATTTAAACCTCCGCTGGTGCAACGTTGAGGCAGTTTCCTCTCCACGTGTTACCTGGGAGAAGAGATGGACACCCACCTTACTATAGCCTCCTTTCATGTAGTTGTAGAGAGTCTCCCCTGAGCCTCGTTTTCTGTAGACTAAATAAACCCTCGAAGGAGATTACGGAGGAGATAGACCCAGGCTTTTTGTTGCCATAAATTATAACAAAAATAGTTTTGCCTTAAGGACATATAAACACCGGAACAGGTGGCCCAGTGAAGTTGCAGAATGTCTGTACTTGGAGGTTTTCACGACCCAGCTGGACAATGTCTTGTGTAACTAAATCTGAATTTAGTCTTGATGTTCATTTGAGCAGGAGGTTGGACTAGATTGCTCCCCAAAGTCCTTTCCAACTTGCATGATTTTATGATTCTGATTCAGACATTTTATTTTTACCATTGATGACTGTAACTATTTTTTACTGGTCTGATTTTAAAAAAAATCTTCTGTTAAATTAGAATTGCAACTCTATTTTGTTATTTATGAGTGATTTGGTTTCATTTAAGTAACAAGCGAGCAAGCAAATACGATTTTAATGGTTTCCTCCTTAGTATGTGAAACCACCTAACTGGAAACTGTGGGATATTAGGAATGAGATGTGCTACCTCTCATTTGAGCAGACAAAAATAATAATGCTGATACATTATATCATATGTACCATACATAAAAATAGTGTATTTTAGTAACTGGAGCCTAACTGGAACATTCCAACTTTATATAAGGCGTAAATATGAATACATTCACACTCAAGTCCTAAAGCCAGAACAACCACAGGCGTCAAGTCAACTGCTTTGTAGCTGAGATAGAAAGCTTTTTAATGCCTAACTTTATTGACACAAAGAATTGGGATTAAGAGGTTGCATAGGCGTATTCAGTTTTACATTAGGTACATTTGTGACAATGTATTCTTCAGATCTGCTGTAGCTGTAGGTGGTTTTGAAATGCTTTCTTCTGATTCTTTTGTTTACGTTTTTTTGAAGGTTTACCAATGAGTGGATCATGAAGAACATACTTTAGGGACTTGCCATAGTATGGCTGCTTCTCGATCTACTCGTGTTACAAGATCTACAGTGGGTTTAAACGGTTTGGATGAAAACTTTTGTGGTAGAACATTAAGAAACCGTAGTATTGCTCATCCAGAGGAAGTTTCACCCCACCCTCAAATACGATCAAGGTCACCAAAGAAGAGGCCAGAGTCTGTGCAAACTCAGAAGGGAAGTAATGGTGGAAGAACTACTGATTTGAAACAACAGAGTGCCCGAGAGTCATGGGTGAGCCCTAGAAAGAGAGGGCTGTCTACGTCGGAAAAAGATAATGTGGATAAACAAACTCTGGAAAATTGTGAAAAAAAACAATCAGAACCTGTGTCACCAGTTTTGAAAAGAATTAAGCGCTGTCTGCGTTCAGAGGCACCCAACAGTTCAGAAGAAGACTTGCCTACTAAAACAGAGAAGGAACCATTGGAGCATAAAAGCTTAGTGTCGGACAATGATGCAGTCTCCACAGGGACTAAGCGAGCTTGTCGATGTCTTATATTGGATGATTGTGACAAAAGGGAAGTTAAAAAGGTGAATGTCTGTGCAGAAGGATTTAATAATTCCGCAATAGTTGACGAGATCGCAAGCTATCAGACTGTCAATGGAGTTGGTGAGAGAGACTCAAATTCTCGTAACTGTGATGACTGTCAGCTTGATGGGAACGCTAAGCAAAACAGTGCTGGTTCCTGTATGCCCAAGGACAAAACGGTAGCAGAAAACGGAAACTCATTTGCCCATTCTTCGTTGTTGCTTAATAGCAGCAAGGAGGACAGTGTTGTAGACCATTATGTGCCTTGCACAAACTCTCAAGAACAGGTAAAGTTAGAGGACCACAAAACAATAAATGACTGCTTGCCTGAGGAGCATGCTAATCAGGTAGATGAGCCAGCTACAGGGTCCTTTTCTGAAATCCAGTCATCTTTGTTAAGGGATTCGGAGGAGGAGGTGGATGTTGTAGGAGATAGTAGTGCCTCTAAGGAACAGTGTGCTGAAAACACCAATAGCAACCCGAATACTCATCATGACAGTGCATCAATCTCAGGTGAACCTGAACCACATTCTTCAGTGCTGGACTGTGTTTCAGCTCAAATGACATCAATGTCAGAACTCCAAGAACACAGATATACATTGAGAACTTCACCACGAAGGGCTGCCCCTGCCAGAAGTAGCCCTCCTAAAAATAACTCTCCTTGTAGAGAAAACGGACAGGTTGAGGAAAATAATCTTAGTCCCACTGAAAAGAATGTACCTGTAGGTAATAATAATATGAATGGATCTCCCAAAAGGTCTGAAGAAATTAAACAGAATGAAAAAGAGAAAAATTGTAATACAGGAGATCATGGGAGTGATGGACTAAGAAAGCCACTTTCTGAGGCTAGGCTTGTTGCTGGATATGTACCATCTGCCAAAGAGAGTGCCAACATCCACACTGCAGAGGATGATGAGGAAGAGCCTGATGTGTATTACTTTGAATCAGATCATGTGGCATTGAAACACAACAAAGAGTATGTGTAACTATGGTAACCATGAATTCTGCTTTTGTTTCTTACCAAAAATATATAAATTAACACATATTTAAAGTACTTTCACAAAAATTTAAGTGCTTTATAATTGTCATACTCTTCAGTCTTCATTTTTGTTCCTTGTTTCTACCCCAAACAAAATTAGACTCTATTTAATATGCAGTATAGTAAAGCAATGGAGTTTATACATTTCTAGCAATATGAATTCTTTAGCCAGAAATTGGGGTTTTATGCTGTTTTAAAAACACATCTGTTAGTTCTCTTCTGTAAAAAAAAAAAGAAATCTGGAAACAAACCCAAAGGAATTACAACCCTAGAGTTCAGTTATTTATCAGCATATCCAATAGGCACAGCACTTGCAGCTTATGAAATTATTTTTCTTTTGTACGTGGAATTTAAGGTTAGATACCCATTTTCAATGTGACATCGGACTTGTTATTGTGTTAAGGAGGATAAATTGATCAAATGCAGCAATCTGAGAACTTTTTCCAGGATAAATCATGTCCACATTGCTGTTTATATTCATTAAATGTAAATATATACATGTTCTACTTATTATTAGAAAAGAGCACTAACTTGTTTTTGTATTTATCATTTGAATGTCTGTAAGTAGAACTGTGGTAATCTTAAGTTTGTGGTAACTGAAAGATTCTTGAAACAAAAGGGCAATTTTCTGAGTGGTTAAAGTTTACATGGAGAAAATTTGTCTTCAGATGGTAGATCGGGCCACAGTTTTTATTGCACAGTCTTTGTAATGCTGTTTTGACTTTATGTTTTGCTGTTTAGTAGCTGTTCTGTGATGTGTTGTGAGTACTGAAAGGCCAAATGCAGATGATCGTCAGTTTGCTTCATATGAAGAGTCACTACCACTGCTAGTAGTTTCTGTAAAGATTCACAGCACAGTTATTACAAATTTGGGGCACAAGGCACAGATGATTATTTAATCCAGCAGAAGTTTGACTGGGGTTTATGCTGTTAGAGTTCAACTGTTTTTATAATTATTTTTTTTAAGATTGGATATGCATAAATTATTTAATCAGATAAAACTGTGAATTAGAGCATGATTCAGACAAACTATGATTTCAGAATAATGATAAAATATCTGCAGCTTCAGCCATCAGCCCAGAGTATATGGATACTTCTCCCGTTTCCTAAACTATGAATGGGAAAAATGGACTGTTGTCTTTTTGACGTTGTTTGGATGTTTTTTTTCTGTTTGTAGGATGACTTTACTAGTTACATTAGTACAAAGATCATTAGTAAGGTATCTTTTTTTTTTTTTTTTCCAGTATTTATTGGGAAAAGAACGATAAAGATTGTATCAGATTTTTAGATTTAGCCTCAATTTTTACTTCTTTCAAGTATGTCTACTATAGAGAGTTTTTAAAAATCAAGATCTGGAATTGAATTATAAATGCTGTAAAAATAACAGTAGTTTTTTCTATTCTTACAATTAAACACAGATCTTAATTGGTCTTGAAAAATATCAGTCACGTTGCCTTAGTGTTAGCTTGTGAATATACACAGTTGGTCTGAAGTTACAGCTCGGATTCAGATTGGCAGCCTGTTCGTGAGAGCTTGTTGGGGAGTTTTCAAAATTGCAGCTTGACTTTCAGCCTGAATGCAGAATTCCAAAAGAAATTGCTGTTATTTGTATCCTATCTTACGTTTTACTCATTTTTTGGTAGCAGAAATGTCAAAGCTAGAATTCCCTTCCAGATGAATAAAGAGTAATTTCTACTATTCAGAAGGGAAGCATGCTACTGAAGGTAGTGCTTGCTGGATTGGTTTCTTTCCATTTAAAAAAATGTTGAAACAGTTGGAAAATTATGGGCAGTCTTGTTGCTGTTGTTTATATTTGCAAGAAAGTTAAGTATTCTGATGGTTTCTCATGGTAATAAGTTTCTTCTAAAGAACAGAAATCTGTATTTTGATTTTTGAGTGCAGTTGTCCTTTATCCGGAGCCTCATAGTTCAGGAGTTATCAAATACAGTGCACTACATCCTTTTTCAAATTTTGAAAATACCAGAGTTCATCAGAGGATACTCCTAATGCCTGTGTTAGAGTTCTTGAATAGTGTCGTAATTATACCCTTGTTTAATCTCATTTGGTGCTTATGTTCCAAAATGTTAAATTAAAACCAAAATTTAAAAAAAGGGTTTTCCCTGGTGAGTCAGGTGCAGAGAATTCCAGGGTTCCCATGCTGTCAGGTAAAGGCTATTCGCTTTACCATGATACTTCTGGGTCAGCAAAAATCTGCTGCTCTTCTGCTTATCAGATCTTCAAATGGTACATAGGTTTGGTTTTCTGTCCTTCATCAGTTTATCATTAAACTTGCCCTTAAGAATATTTTTTTTTCTTTGATTTATACTTCTATTCTCTTTTGAAAGCAAATTCAGAGAGACATCAGCATCTTGGCTAGGTTGAGGAGGCAGATTCCGCCAAGAAGGCAGTAATATCGTTCTTTGGATGTTCCATAATGGGGGGGAAGCTCTATTCCTCTGTTTTCTAGAAGCAATTTGATATGTCTGTGAACTTACATTATTTCTTGTTGTATTACATAGCTTGATGACATAAACATTCAAACAGCTGATTTTCATTCTTCAAGAAATTATTGTAACATTATAAAATACTCAACATCTACTGATAAGCCTTGCAAAAAACAACTAATTGTATATTGTGGTGTTTTTATATGAATTTTGTTGCTCTTTGAATGTTGTCATGTTTAAACAGCATTCATGTATTAATATTTCTGGTCAAACTGTATGATATAACAGAAAAATAATCACCAGGGAAAGTAAAATATGGATTATTATTTGGATAGAAGGCTGAACTGATGGATGTTCCAACCTCTAATAAAATAGATCCATCTCACAAAAAACAGATCTGAGATCTATCAATAGAAATTTTATCACAACATAGGCATTCATGTAGGAAATAACAGACTGATCTAGGGGTTGTATAATCATAAAGTATTATTAATGTTAATTTTCCTATTACTACAAACAATTTGAATTTTTGTATATTATGAGTCCTCTCAGAAAAATATAGTTTGGTGCATATTTGAGAATTTTGCTTAAGTTCTAACTCAGAAACCTTTGCATAGTCTCTTGAGGTATTTTCATCAAAACTGAATTTGTGGATTTAAATCTTTTTACACTGCTGACTTTATATGCTGTGCTTGGTGTTTTGCATATGTTTTTCCTCAGGAGTTTCTCATACCGCTTTGCTCTATCTTTTTATAACACAATTCTTTCTTACAGTGCAGTAGTTTATTCTAATTTTTTTATCTTATGCAGTATTCTCATAACATTTTCCCCTTTGCCCAGTGTTTCATTTATTGCCTTTTTTTCCTTCTTCTCTACTTACTCTGGAGATATTTGCAATGTTTGGCAGGTATTAGGTGGCATGAGGGAGAATTTTTGTGTAACATTAGCTCTCTGCTCTAGAAGAAAATGTAACTGAGGTATTGTGTTTTCATGTGTATTTTCGTGTAATTCATGACTGCATTATATAGTGTATTTCTAGGATCCTGTAAGCTCTGGTTAGCTTTAGAGGAACCACTTAGGCCTGTAGATCAGCTCACTGAAATACAAGAATCGCACATGAGCACTTGCCTACAGGCGTTCAAGTGGCAAGAGTTAGGACCTTGCATTTGTTCAGTAAATAAGATATCCTCATGTGTCTTTGGTTTCATTTGTTACTTTATCATATTTAAGATCGTAATAGCTGTGCTGACATTTAAAGTGAAGACAGGTTAAAATGAAATGTTTTAATACATCTCTTAAAACTCAGTCTTGCGAATCCTTACCTACAATGGGTTGTATTGTTACAGAGGCCTTAGGAAGACAGAGGACCATGTAGGATCATACAGTCAGATTTCATATGTAATTGACAGTTCATTGTAATATTGTTAATGTCTTTGGATGCACTTCTAACATTATGTGAAGGTGAGAAAGAAAACGTGTGGCATTTCCTGTGGGTACAGGTTTTGTATTTCATTCAGTCACAAATGTTCTGCCTAATGAGTCAGATTGGAACAGTTCTCTATAGAAGTTCATCTTACCCCACTTGACTTGTTAGGATAGGGTCTGGTGCACCTTGCCATACCTGCTCTTTGAGAACTGCCTGGAACAGATCTTCCTAAAGTGTGACTAACGTAATTCTGTAGCAGTCTTTTTCACTAAGGTGAGCTTCTAATTTCACCTGCACCATGTTTTCTCGTAACTGGATGACAATTAGTATTTAAAATCTAACTACTTTTCATTAATATATTTTAAGATAAAATCTCCATGCCTGTCTTCATATATATTGGGTAAGCACAAAAATATTACATTGGTTTTGTAATTTATCCACATATATTCAGATACATGTCTCAGAAATAAGGTCAAATTTATCACACAGTATGGATTTATTTTAATGTACAGATAAGTATAATAGAGTTTTTTAATTTGCAAGAGATAATGCCGTGGGCATGTGCTGCATCTGCTTTTCTCTCTCTAGTAATAGGCTTACCCCAGGAGCCATTAAATGTGAATCACATTTGTCAAATTAGTTTTTTCTTTCTCTGAACATAGTTATCTTGCTGTCAACCACAGCACAATCCTAGTGACCAGCACTATCAAACACCATGCAATCCTCATTTAAATAATGCATCCTGTGGAAAACAAACCTTGATTTCTTTTGGATTTGTGTCCTTTGCTCCTTGAATTCTTTTCTCTCCTGATCAGCCCGATACGTGCTTTACTTTTTCTGCCTGCGCCCTCGCTCCAGCAGTCCTCTGTTGCAGCATCCTGTCCTGGCAGAGGGAGTGTGAGCTCTCAGTGCAGAGCTGCTTCCCTGCAGGCTGGCTTGGAGGCATGTGTGGATGTGTGTGCTGATGGATTGCCTGGGCAATGTGATGACTTAACAGTTCAATTCTGCTTGCCTGGCTCTTGTGGAGACAGTAGTACGGTCTGTCCCCCTTCCCAAATTGCCAGTTT